AACAACAGGCCCAATACACTGCTTGGGGTCATGTAGAAAATCTTCTATCCACGCTAGGACATTTCCCCGATTCCGTACCCTTCCAGTTTGATTGTTAGCCTTTCGTGGGGTACACTGTCGAAAGCCTTGGCAAAATCTATGTAAATATTGTCTATATTACCAGCCTGTTCCAGAATATGGGTCCAAATATCCAATACCTTGAGCAATTGTGTTAAGCAGGAGCGCCCCTGCATAAAACAGTGATGGCAATCCTTTACAAGGTTGTTTCGTATTAGATGTTCTATCGCAGCATCTCTGATAATACTCTCAAGTACTTTACATACAGTAGTACCCCGATTTACGCGGTTAATTGAACCCACGGGGTACCGCGTAAAGTGAACAACAGAACATATGGGATTAATTCCAATAGAGATTGGCCCGACCCCCAAACTCCACTTTTTCCGACACAATACCTATGTTGTATTAAAAATAACATCTTAATTTTATGATGGTATGCACATACAATTAATATTTAAGAGAAATACAGTCGTCAGGTTAATGTCCATTCAAATAATGGACTCAAATCTACCCTCCCCCTCCCTCTTCCCAGCTCACTAGCTCCTACCTCTCTGAGAAATGTTTGGGTGAAAACACTAGATTTTAACGTTTGGTAATAAATAATACCTCAGACTAAAGTTAGGATAATATAATTGACATTTCTGGATTCCTTGCAGGTCAGGGAATATTTTGAATGTAAACTTCATATATTTTGCAAAAAAGATAAAATATTTGCTTTGTGTAAACCAAATTATTACATTAGATCTAAAATTTGTATGTCTAATGCAAAATCCATGATGTTTATATTCAAAATGATCATCATATTGTAAGAATTCCAACAATGTAAATTATATTCTGGCTGGGTAATTTGTATGAATTTTATGATATAAATAAAAAAAAAATATACTTCACCACGTATATGAGTAGATGCACTGCGGAAAGTGAAAGTCCGGTTCTGGCGAGGTACCGCGTAAATGAGAAATCGCGGAAAGTGAAACCGTGTAAAGCGGGGCAATACTGTAGTTATAATCAGGAATTTATAAATACAAATACATATTATATCCTTATAGACCATAATTAAGAGGAATAGGATATCATTATTCACACCTCCTTGAATATTATTAACTCTGGATATAGTAAAGCATAGACAGTGACTGAGATCACCACATTCCAAAATATCCAAACACTTTTCAGAGCTAAATCTTCCGTTAATCTGAGTTAGTCCACCCATGATGCTGTCTGTGTTTAACAAGCCCCAAACATTGACTGTCACATGATTCGCTTCTTGCCACCTTGTTGATGTTGTGACGTTGATAACCTGGTGTTTGGCCGCCACAGTGGAGAGGACCCTGGGTGGTGGATGCTAAGGTCATCTCATCTAAGATCACCTGACCCCAAAAGTCTGTCTTCACCCTCATATTGCCGGTAAACTGGAGGCTAGTAGTTAGGGTGTGTCAATTTTGTCAACATGTTAAAAATCAAATTTGGTAGTCAAAATATTGTGCCTCTTTATGTCTAAACTTGAGATTAGCAAACAAAAATGAATTGAAATAACCCTCACCTACATCAATTATACCTTAAATTTTCAAATATCAGTATTTCAACAAATTAATGAGACTTGATTAGAATTATTCACTTGATATTAACTAATCTCATCTAAGCATATGGATTATGGAGTATTTTATGGTTCTATAGCTTGTGTACAATATGCATGTCAGAACATGAACATGAACAGGCTCTCCGTGTGGGACAGTTTAATTCTTGTTTTGACTTGTACCAAGCGTGAGGATAAGGCGCCCGGCTCACTCTCCTAGATATCATAGACGGTGGTTTGCTCTCATTGCACTTGCACCTACTCTACCAGACGAATTCTACATTTTAATTATTGTAAGTAGGGCATATTGATTGTCGCAGTTACTTATATCATTGTATAAAACATTATGTTCTAAGAAATTATTATGTTATTTCTGTTACAGCATTTTTGATAAACAAATTGATATTTTTTGAAACAACAATTGAATTATGAAACATTGAAATATTTTTCTATTTGTCAGATAGTGTGAAGATGTCAAAATTGAAGACAAGAAGTCAGTTGTCAACCCACTTGAGCCTGCTAGTTGGTAAAGGGAAGGAGCTTCCTGTATCAGAACTTCCAACAGTGAGAGACATGCTAAGATTAGGGTTACTCCTTCGAGAAAAAAATGCAAAGGACAGAAGGAACTATACAGATAAAGAACTCATAAATGACATGATAGTCCCTCTTCTGCATCAATGGACAAAAGCTAATGCACTATTCAAACCACCTGTGATTAATCAGTGTCGAACTATTGAGCTAAAACTAACGAAATTATGGCACTAAGCAGTTGAAACATCACTTGGTAAAGGAAACTTGGCCAGGAAAAATGAATTTCTGCACACACTTGATACTCTGTTTGACATTTTGACCTGCAAATGCTCCATACAATTATGTTCTGAATCCAACTGTTCTCACTCAGGTAAGAGAGAAAATAATTCCCACATTGATTGTGGTTGTCCTCGTGAAAAGAAGATCCCTGTTTTAGAGCTTGAATTTATAAAGGCACAGAGGACAAAGGCAGAAGGCCAAGGAAGTATGCAAATGGGTTCAATAGGTTATTCAGAAACAAAGAAGCAGATTGCTAATGCCAAGAAGAGAGAACAAATCCGAGAGAGGGAACAAAAGAAGAAATGAAGAGTGAAGAAGCCATCCAAAGAGAGGAAGAGCTGTGTCAAGATGTTTATCACTTCTTTGATAGTTCTTCTGATGAACAGGAAGCAACATCAGATGATAGTTCCAAAGAGCCATCTGAACCTTTACCAAAGAAAATGAAATACAACACAAGAAATATTTCAAACATTGCTTTAGCTAGTATTCGCCACCATGCTGGACTTCGTGAGGCTGCAGAAATTGCAACTGCCGCTTGAATAGATGCAGGCCTCATCAGCCGAGAGGATGTATCTTTGGTGATAGATCATAATAAAATTAGAAGAGCATAAGAAAAAATAATGAAGGAAATATCTGATCAGCATGAAAAAGATTTAAGCGAGGGAGGGCTCTCCTGTCTTTTGTTTGATGGAAGAATAGATGACACAAAAGTTTTGCTAGAAGTAGAGGGAGTGAACAGAAAGTTTCCAGGTCTCATCAAAGAAGAACACTACTCTGTCTGTTCTGCGCTTGGTGGTCGGTTTTTGTTTCACTTTGCTCCCGAAACTGAAGTAGAAGGGAAGAAACATGCAGAGGTCATTGCTGATCATATTTTATGTTGGGTTCAGGAGAGAGGACTTGGCAGTTCACTGCAAGCTGTTGGTGGAGATTCAACTGCAGTGAACACTGGATGGCAGGGGGGTGTAATGACGCATTTAGAGAAAAAACTAGGAAGAAGACTTGTTTGGATTGTATGTGATTTACATACAGGCGAGCTACCTCTTCGTCATCTCATCCAGGAACTTGATGGTCCTACAAAGAGCAACAACAAGTGGTCAGGTCCCCTTGGCATCATGCTGGATGAAGCAACACAACTAGAAATAAATACAACCTTTCCAAAGGTCGAAGTTGGCCCTCCCCTTCCGGCGTTGTCTGAAGGAGTCATCAAAGATCTAAGCACAGATCAATCCTATGCTTATCGTATTGCCCAAGCAATAAGATCAGGAGAAGTGCCTCAGTCATTGGCTCTCTTGGAGATTGGACCTGTCAGTCACAGCCGTTGGTTAACTACAGCTCTTCGTTTCTGCAGGATTTGGATTTCCAAACACGAATTGAAGGGCAAAGTGCTGAAGAATTTGAGGTTAATTGTTGAATTTATGATTGGAGTTTATCTTCCCCAGTGGTTTAGTGTGAAACTTAATCCTATGTGGGTGGATGGGCCCAATCACCTTTTGTTTCAATTGCAGCTAGTAAGAACACAGAGGAAGGTAGTGAGGGACATCGTGTTACCTGTGGCAAGAAGGTCCGCTTGGTATGCTCGATCAGAAGCAGTTTTGCAAGCAATGCTTTGCAGTCAATGTACCAATCTCCGAACCGAGGCTGTAGAAGTCATTCTAAAGATTAGAGGAACGCTAATAGATGACGACCAGTTGGGAGACTGTTCGTTTCATTCAAGAAAAGTTCCCCCAATAAACGTCAATGCCACCAAATTGTCAGAATTGGTTGACTTGAGTTTGGAAGTCTTAGAGCCACCATTGACAACAAGTCTAACTAGCCAAGAATTGAGAAACCTTAAAGAGACTCCAACGCAGGTGCCGAAGTGGCCTTCCCACACTCAAAGTGTGGAGAGATGTGTGAAAATGGTCACAGAAGCAGCGGGCCATGTTTACAGCCACGAGAGGCGAGAAGGTTACATCAAAGCACAAATAGCAAGCAGACTACTGATGACAAGAAACCAAAGCAGAGAGAGTATGAAGGCATTGGTTACTTTCAAATAGACTAAGGATAATAAAATATAATAATTTGAAACTTGAAACAGTAACATGTGTGCAAACGCTGGTTATGTTATAAATTCACAAATATGTACATTTAAAAATCCATTTGATGTAGGTAGGACTTATTATAAAAAAAAATTTATGCCAGAATATTGTTTTGCATGCTTAAAGACTACAATAAATTGCTACCAAATTACTCGATTTTCAATTTAGCCAGTTCACCCCCTAAATTGACACACCCTAATGGTTAAGATTGTTGCCACTAGATGTCCTTCACATCAACTGTAACTCACGCGGGTGCAACCGGAAGCCAGGTCCAGTACCGCATTGGCGCTCGAGGTGGCGGTTTGTGTTTTTTGACAGTGCTGATGTTATTTGGAGAAGGTAAGATAATTATTTTTTTGCATTGATATACTGGCTGTAATGATTTGGTATTTATGCTGCATATAGCCAATCGTGTGTGCATTATAGGTATGTGCCATAACATGATATATAAAACAGATGTTTTATAAAAAAAAAAAATAATGCGAATATTTACGTATGGGGTGAGATGGACCCCGAGGGTTCCATCTCACCCCTTACTCTAAATATTTTACAAACACTTAGCATTTTCTTTCCTTTTTCCTTGTAGATGCCCCGGAAATACGTGAGAATAAGTAATAGAGGGGGATGGAATACAGAAGCAATGCAGAATGCAATATCTGCAGTTAAAGAAAAAAAGATGGGTGTGAAAGCAGCCTCCAAGGAATTTAATGTCCCCAAGACTACTCTACGTCGCCGCGTTAAAGAGAAAAATAAGATAGCAACCGGTTCGACAAAGGTAAGAAACTGTTTAGCATCTTCAAAACTTAACTATCTTGTGTAACATTTCCTGAAAGCCTAATTTTTTTATTAATATTTATGAATTTGTTCCTTCTTTTGGGCTCGTTGTCCTGCAATATTATGTAGCCTATTAAATTTCGTTTTTGTTTCTAACTTCTAACATATTATGTCTTCCTCTATTTCCAGATGCTTGGTCCTCTCACGACGGTATTCAGTAATGAACAAGAAGAAGAGTTGGTTGCTCACATTTTATCGATGGAAGATCGATTTTTTGGACTTACTACAAGGGATGTTCGCTACATTGCATTCCAAGCAGAGGAGAGGAATAACTTGGACCACAAATTTAACAAAACGGTGAAATCTTTCTACAGAACAGGTTTCTTACTTTCATACTTAGTTTACATCCTAGTTTGATACACATTGAAGTTTGATTTTATTCCAGTTACATTTTATCTGTTGTTTCTGTCTTTTACCAGGTTGGACTTGCAGGTAAAGACTGGTTATTGGGCTTCCTACGGCGCCACCCACAACTTTCAATTCGGACCCCAGAACCAACTTCTGCTGCTCGAGCAAGATGCTTCAATCAGACAAATGTGGACAAGTTCTTCGACATCTTATCCTTAGTTCAGGAAGGCCACTTCTTTCCTCCACACAGGATTTTCAATGTGGATGAGACAGGTATTACAACGGTGCAGACAAAACCTACAAAAATCCTTGGTCAGCGTGGGAAAAAACAGATTGGCAGTCTGACTTCTGCTGAAAGAGGAGTTCTAGCTACAGCAGTTTGCTGCATGTCAGCTGGAGGGCAGTTTGTTCCTTTTACTTTACTTTTTTTACTTTTATCCTCTTCGCCACTGATCGGCTTGTTAGCCGCTTGGGCGATCGGTCACGTCTCATTTCCTTTATATTCTTCACCAAAAGGTCGGCTGGCTAGCCGCCCGGGCGATCAGTCACGTCTCTGTCACGCACTGTTGGCAAATACTGGGCATGCACCGGCTCCTGAATGTACCTGAACCCGCTCCAGTGTTGGTCAAGTCTTCTCTTGAAAGAGCTCACACTCGGTGCCGTCACAACACTCTCTGGTAGATTGTTCCAAGAGTTTACAACCCTCACTCCGAAAAAGTTTGCCCTCACGGTTTTCCGGACTTGCGGCTTCTTCAATCTTGAGCTGTGACCCCTTGTGGGGCGAGCGTCCGCCAGCTCCAAGTAAGGACACTCAACTGAGTAGTGCCCCCTGAGATGCTTATAAACCTCAACTAGGTCCCCCCTTGCCCGTCTGTAGTATAAGCTAGGCAAGTTCAGGCGCTCCAATCTCTCAGGGTAGCTGAGATGCCGAAGTGCAGGCACCAGTTTGGTGGCCCTCCTTTGAACATTTTCTACCAACTGACAGTCCCTAGCATATCTCGGGGACCAGATGGGGTGACAGTACTCCAGATGGGGAAGCACTTCACTCCTGAAGATCGTCACGAGGGACGGACCGTCTAGATATCTGAACGACCTTCTTATAAGACCCAATAATTTATTTGCCTGATTTACCTTCTTCTCACAATGGCCCGAGAACTTCAGCTCATTGTCAACATACACTCCTAGGTCCTTCTCACACACAGTCTCAACTAGTACATTTTCTTCATCCCGTTGGGACATATGGTACGCCTCCTTATCGTTGGTACGCCCCAGGTGCATCCTCTTACACTTTGTGACATTGAATCTCAGCAGCCATTCCTTCGACCATTCCTGGAGCCCACAGAGGTCCTTCTGCAGCTCTTCACAGTCCGCTTGGTTCTTAATTTCCCGAAATAACTTGGCGTCATCGGCAAACATTTGTATGGAGGAGTGTACAACGTCAGGCATATCATTTATGAAACAAACAAACAACAGCGGGCCCAATACACTACCCTGCGGTACCCCACTTGTTACAGGTACAGATGACGATTTCGTGCCATTAATCACCACACATTGCTTGCGGTCATGTAGAAAGTCTTCTATCCACGCTAGGACATTTCCCCGAATTCCGTACCCTTCCAGTTTGATTTTCAGCCTTTCGTGGGGTACACTGTCGAAAGCCTTGGCAAAATCTAGGTAAATATTGTCGATATTACCACTCCGTTCTAGAATATGGGTCCAAATATCCAATACCTTGAGCAATTGTGTCAAGCAAGAGCGCCCCGGCATAAAACCGTGTTGGCAATCTTTTACAAGGTTGTTTCGTAGTAGATGTTCCATCGCTGCATCTCTGATAATACTCTCAAGTACTTTACATATTATGCTGGTCAGGCTCACCGGTCTATAGTTGTTCGTGGAGTGACTATCGCCCTTCTTGAAGATAGGACTCACATAAGCCACTTTCCATTCACTGGGGACCATTTGTTCATCCAGGCATTTACAAAACAGAATCTTCAGGGGCTCTGCAAGCTCGTTGCACAGCTCCCTTAGCACTCTAGGATGCACCATGTCAGGTCCAGGACTCTTATGGACCTTTAGCCTGGACAGTTTATTTCTAATACCCTCTTCTGTGAACACAATGTGGGTCAGTGCTGTGTCGAACCGTCTGTCCTCAAACGCAGGAAGGTTAGTTGCATCCTCTCTTGTGAACACTGAGGAAAAGAAGCTGTTCAATGCCTCAGCTTTATCCTGGTCAGAATCTGCGTAACTACCATCTTCAAGCCTCAGGTCTGATACTCCTACTCGCGTTTTCAATTTCGACTTTGCATAGCGGTAAAACGCCTTTGGGTTTGACTTGACCTCGCGTGCAACCAGCCTTTGGAACTCCTTTTCAGCCCTCCTACACTCTATCTTTGCTTGGTTTCTGGCTCTTGCATACATCCTCCTGTCTTGCTCATCGTTTGACCCAACCCACGTCTTGAATTTCTGGGTTTTCTTCTTAATTTTGTCGACCGCCGCATGGTTCATGTGTAGGGATCCCCTCGTATTCCTAGAAGCACTGGGTTTGGTCTTGGGTATATATTTATCGATCAAATGGGTCATTTTACTAGTTATGATATTCAGCGTAGTGTCTGCGTTCTTGTACCTTAATAAGTCAGGCCAGTTGATACCCCTCATCTCTTCCCTCATCCCATTGTAATTTCCCTTGTAATATTTGCACCTTGGCCTGGCCTTATCTTGAACTAGGTAACAGTTAAATCTGAATGACAACACTGTATGGTGACTGGTGCCAACTGGGGCAAGGTGTTCCAGTTTGGCCACCATACCCTCCTCGTTTGTTATGATGAGGTCAAGTGGCTTGGGTGTTTGCTCCCTCTGTAATGTGTCGGGTCTCTCACATGTTGGAACAGAAAATTATCTCTCAGAGTTTCTACAAAAAGAGTAGCAGGATTATTCAAGTCATTCGGGGTTGACTCGTTTCTCCAGTCGATGTCGCCATAGTTAAAGTCCCCCATGATAAGGAGGTGGCTGGGGTTGAGCATCGCCGCATTGTTTATTAAGGTTCTTAAGTTCCTTTGATTTAGTGGGCCACAGTTCGGGGATCTGTAGATACACCCGACGATAAGTAAGTCCCCTCCCTTTAATTTAATTTTACACCACTTGGACTCTTCAAAAACATCCTCTCCCTGTACCCTCGCCTGGCTGGCTCTAAGGTCTTGCCTAGCGTAGATAACCACACCCCTCCTGCAGGATTCTTGAGTTAGGTTCGTAAATGAGTCATATCCAGCAATACTGAACTCACATTCCTCTGGGTCGATTCTCCTGTTCTTGTACAACAGTTCTACAACTCCTACAATATCTGGTTGGTGTACTCTTAGTAGTGTTTCAAACTCCTCCCTCTTATCAAGGAACGTGTCGGTATTAGTGTACATGACATTCAAGCCAGAATTTGTTCTCGGTAACGTCTCTGCTCTTAGTAATAAACCCGCTCCACCCACATTCTCAGAAGCTGCAGCATTTGCTAAGTACACTGTATTTTGCAGGGTGTGGTTAAAAATGTCATTGTTTACACGGCGCTCGTTCCCTCCTGTCCGGTAGGCTGAGCTGGTGCCGCCTCCTGGGTGGGGGGTTGAGTGGGTGGAGGGTGCACTGCTGCCCCCTGGCCCTGTGTCGGCACACTTGTTTCCACTACCCTCCCCCTGAGTATAACCCATGTGCACCTGTCCCCGTTCCTCCTCGACTCCTCCCTCTTCTGCTTCAAGTCCAGCAGGAGCTTCTTGTGCTGTTCCCTCTGCATTACCGTGCGGTCTGGGTGAATAAATACATCCCGAAATGCCTCGCTCCTCATCTTTCCACGGGTTCGTATGAAGCAAGAACTAAAGGATGGTGCTCCACCAGGAACCGGATTTGCCTGTCATCCATCTGGGTGGATGCAGCTCCCCATTTTTACAGAATGGTTTCAGCACTTTATTGCCCACACCAAGCCATCAGTGAATGATCCAGTATTGTTGATTATGGATGGACATATGACCCATATTAAGAATCTTGATGTTATCAATCTTGCCAGGGATAATTATGTCACGATTGTTGTTTTACCACCACATTGCAGTCACCGAATGCAGCCACTGGATGTTTCATTTATGAAACCACTGAATGCCTACTATGTGGGGGCTATTGAAACATTCCTCAGAAACAATCCTGGCAGGCTTGTGACAATCTACAAAATAAGTGCTTTGTTTGGTGAGGCCTATCTACATGCTGCTGTTCCAAACAGCCATTAATGGGTTTAAGAAAACCGGTATCTGCCCATTGAATAAGCATGTTTTCGGAGAAGCTGCATTTTTACCTGCCCACCCAACAGACTTTCCATTAAATGCTGATCAGGAAGAGGAAGATCTGAACGACCATGTCGCCCCTCCTATCACGGTCACTGAGAATGAACCTGAATTGGAAGTAGCTGACATATCGGAAAACTCATGTGCTGTTCCTGAAAAACCAAGTCTGTTCAGGCCAGGTAGTTCACCCAAGGAAATTGTTCCCTTGCCAAAGGTGGCCATAACGACACGAAAGGAAAGACCTAGGGCTCAAGGGAGACCCCTCAACATGACAGGATCCCCATACAAGAATGAGCTCGAGACAGAAATTCAGAAGAAAAAAGAAAAAGAGGTCAGTCTAGCAAAGAAGCAAAAAGAAAGAGAAGCCAAAAATAAAACAGCAATCATATCAAAGCAACTACGACGTGAAAAAGGATCATCCATTTCAATAGCTAAACAGCTATATGAAGAGGAGATGGAACTGTTCGCTCAGTATTGCAGTGACCTTTAAAGAAGAACAAAAATATAATGTGCAGTGATACTGGATGATGAGGATGATATTGAGTGTTTTGTTTGTGATCTATGCAAGGAATGATCAGGCAATTTGGCATAATATTTATAAAGTATCCCTGCAGGTGTAAAATGGGCACAGAAGCAAATGTATGTGGGTAAAGGATGCTGAAAGAAGGGTTTTCTTTGTAATTTATTCCAGGAAGGATCTGTTTTCATTATTTTTTGGTCGAGGGTTATGATGAACCCTTAGGAAGTACCCGAAAAAATGACGGGGTAAGACGGACCCGTCTTACCCCATCATTTTTTTTCGGGTACAATAAAAGTTACTTTTTTATTTTAATCATAGTTTCAATTTTTCCCTCAAATAACTGTGCCTAGGTTGTGTATTGGAATCATAAGACCCCAAAGTACCACCACAACCCCTAAAACATGAAAAAAATATCAAAATGTGGCTTCTAGACCCATTTATTTCTTAAGGGGTCCGTCTTACCCCACCTTCCCCTACCTGTAATGTTATTTAATGTTAATAAATGGAAAAATATAAGTAGCTAACCATTCATGGTAAAAAATAAAGTGAGACTGCTCGTATGTAAGTGCACACATGAAAATATATCGTCATTACTCTACATAAGAATATGAAAGCAACACTTATTTACAGCTCATATATAATGAAGGGTTAAATGTTGTACTCTGTATACCGTATATCTTATAAGACGAAATTTGAACATTAAAAAAATATGCCCAAAGTTAGGGGGTCGTCTTAAGCAACAAATATAAAATTCTTACATCTTAAATATTGTGTCAAGAGTGGTGATTGAAACATCGTAAGCCACTCACAAAGTCCTACCAGTAATTATTTTATACTGAAACTTACGTTTGGCAAGCTGGATTCAAATTAAGATTACCGGTATATTAAAATAATAAAAATGTATTATAAACCTCTCTAACATACCCTGTAATAAACACAGCTGCTATCATCACACAGCCCCTCCCCACGCCCCCACATTTGCCAGTGAGGAGACAAGAAAGGGAAAGTGACCGCGAGATTGGGCTATTTTTAGCCGTTGAGGTGATCAGTAATGCATACCGGGTATCGGTATATTTACTGATAATAATATTTTCTCCTATAAATAATTGATTTAAAATTTATTTTCTTACAAAGAATATTCAGTAAATGAGTGCGTTAATTCTTGAAACTATCGACAGTTAATTACAGACGCTTAAGTGAAGTCACTAGTGTTTACACTACACCAGCCGGTTACATTTGATGCCATTACTTGAAATGAATTGGCCTTATTTTAAGTAACTAACTATAAATAAATACAAAAATTAAAAAAAAAGATCAAAAGTGAGAAATAATATACTGTATGTATGTTGTGTTGTCAAAGTAAGAGGAACAATTGAAACTGCAATTGTGTAAATGAGGCAGAAAGTCAGGTCAGCAACCTGGGACTTGGTCAAAATTTTCGTGATGCCATATGGCAGCAGGGTCTACCATTAGACAACACATTATGCTTCCAATATCTTCTCAGGCAGTAGTACCTCCCTGTTTGGTAGCTGCCTACTACCTACACAATTTCTAGTAATATTAATTTGATACATGATAAATTAGACAAACTGAAAATAAACATCAAATTTAATTACCAACACACTTCCCATTGGCAGCTGTAAGAGGGGGAGATGGGCTATTTTTATCCCGTCTTTGTGTCTGAAGTGGCCAGTAATACCATATATTTATTGATCATATGTTTCTCCTATAAATAATTAATTTAACATTTATTTTTTTATAGAATATTCAATAAATGACTTTTAATTCTTTTAACTACCGACAGTGGTAAATTTAGGCTGACAATGATGAAGAAGAAGGCAGGTCATCTGATTCGGAGTTTGATTCTTAACTCTTTAGGTGCGTAATTAAATTTCGCGCCGGTTCCTGAAAAGTGTCAATTATCCTGCCAAAAATGAATTTCATATAATCACATTTTCTATATGTTTTTCCTAGAGAACTTTTAGTATATTTTCCAAATCTGGAACAAAAATTCACATATGTGTGCAAATTTTAGAGAAAAAATGACATTTATACCCAAAAATGCAGGAAATTGGTATAAATCAATGTCTGGTATATGGCAAATAAATTTAATCAATT